ACACACACACACACACACACACACACACACGCACGCACGAACGCACGCACACACACACACACACACACACACACACACAAACACACACACACACACACACACACAAACACACACACACAGCATGAGATGAAATTCCTCTCTCTCCATTTGCAGCAGGTCATCAGCCCAAGAATATTAATCATAGTTCTTGTTTGCCCCGACCTTCACTTTCCTCACTCTGTTTTTGCTCTGATTCTCCTCATTTGTATTCCTGCAGCTCTTTACCTGTCTGTCTGTCTGTCTGTCTGTCTGTCTGTCTGTCTGTTTTCGCTCATCCTGTCATATTGTCTTCAAGGTAGGATAAATCCCCCTAAAAGCCTCACAATTCCTCTATGTTCTGCAAAAGAAAAAGAACAACGCTATAAACATTAATGATTTAGGAATAATAAGAAAAAGACTGAAAGTTTGAGAAGGTCTTTGATCATTATGCCGGTTCAATCTGGTAAGTGAAAGCAGCAGAAACTTTGACTATCATTATGTGAGAAAAATACACCTTGTTTTGATCAGTATCGTATACTGGTTGTGTTACACCAACGGGGGGAGGTGAAGTTGTGGATAAAGACCCCAAGGGAGTGGGAGGTGAAAGAGTAAAAGCGTGAGAAAGAGGAAATGAAAGAGAGGAGAACCAGGAAATACCATGTCACAGAGAGTCATTGCCTTCAGTGAGTATATCCCTCACAGTCTGAATCTAATCCTCATGAGAATATCAACAAATACAGAGGATTAGATGCAGGAGCAGACTTAATGATTTAAAGGCCCCACAGAATCTGAGCTGTATCTGTCCTGAATGAGAAAAACCCTGTTTCCTAGATATCAGGAGTATATACCGCTCATTTGTTTTAAAACTTTTAATGCATTAAGAGTAAAATGATATTGCTGCACAGACTGTGTGGCGAGTATAGTCTGGTTGATGGTGGGTCTAAAAAACACAGAACTTTGATATTAAAGCAAGCTCTTATCACAATTTATTTTAAGCCCAGGTCATCTGTCAATTCATTTATGATGCATTTTCCCTCTTCGAAAACTTTAAAAAAACTACTGACAAACGTATTATCGTCTTCTGTCCTTTGCTAGACAAAACTGAAATGCAATACACCTGTTATCCTTCTTTTATGCTGTGACTTGATTTGAATGTGCCTCGGAAAATCCACCTCACAATGATAAACGATGAATTCAGACAGACTAAAAACAGAATGTGAAATACAGTAAGTGTAATTTAGCAAGTGTTGTTCATTTATTCACAACACAGTTCACGCGTTCATTGAAACCAAATATACTTTGTTTCTGTGTTGGATTTGTTTTAGACACTTAAGAATCTCCCATATTACCATATCAATATTTGCTATATTATTTGCCTTTGGCGCTCACTAACAGTTCAAACCGAGCTGATGTTTGTTCAGTGGCTTATATAGCAGCCATGTTTAAAGTTAAGGCAGCAGTAGACTCTTTTGAACAATTCTAGGAATACCCAAAGGAAGATTTGAAGGATATCAAAGCTTAACAACAAACTGAATGAATGGAGGATTCACCCAAGATAGTTGTTATCAAAAGAAAATGTTACGTTTAAACAAGTGTCTCATATCAAAGTAGCAACTCCTGAATCAGATTTTTTATTTGCATATTTGTGTAGGAATTCACTCTGTAACTAACTGTGCGGTTTCCTACAGAAGCAACGGTATAATTTTAGGAGTGGGCCTGAGGGATGACGAAGTGTGACCTCGACATTCAGGGAGGCTCTGGGCGAGTTTCTCCCCCAAGCAGCGGCATTAAAAAAGGCTAACTTCTCTGTCCACAAAAGCCTTAGTGAAATACAGATGTAATTGCTATATTGATTTGCTTCGTTGTGTTCTCTCCTCTGCATTCATTTCTTTTTTTTACCCAGCAGTCTTTGCAGTACACATGATGATAGGCTATGCCTTGTCTCTGTGAATAACTGGGCTGCATGATGGAGCTGATTTCTCTACATAAAAGACAGACATGAGGGCACAGACATACATTTTATTGTGGAAATAAACTTAGCTATATAAGATAAAGTTTGAAAATACAATTAGATCATTTGAATTAGTTTAACTTCTGTGTGATCTATGTGCAGCCTTTTTTTTGAGGTTTTTGGTAAATCGGGAGTACAACAATGTGATTAAACAAAATGGCTGCCAGGAGGAATAATTGGATTTCCAATTTACGCCGAGCTTGTAGGTGGTTTGACTCACTTGTGTAAGGGCAAACATGGACTCATGGGTGAATTTGCTTGCAATCAATAACCCGCCTTCTCCCAGGCTCTGAACCTTTATCTGTTTCCTCAGATCTAACTGGAGCTGTATTGATCTGTGTGAGTGACAGATGAGCTTGTATCGAGGCGGTCTGCTGGCCTTTTGCTGCCGCAGTCATTGTTGTGCATACAGATCGTTGGTGCGTGACTCAGACTGATCAAAGTTCAGTCGTGTCATGGATCATGAGCAAACTGTACACAGCACCACGATAAAGACAAGCTAGGAAGAGATAAGTGTCGTTCCATGATAGTGTAAATGTAACAATAACAGTTAAAGTGGTAATTATTAGGAAATCAGCTGTTGAATGTAAAATAGTGTCTGACTTTTACCCTGTCAAAATGATCAAACCTCCTCCCTTAAAAGTGCCATCTTAATCATTCACAACTTTCAACTTTAAACCCTCATGATATAGCACTAGATAAGCTACAGTCAGCGGAGAGGAACTGATATCAGTCCTGTCACTTTAATTTTCCCTGCAACCGTCCTTGAAATGAGCAAAGGAAGCACTTTCCCTCAGTCCCTGCCGTCCTTTGACTTCTCTAGACCAAGTGATATTGAAATCTGTGACCAAACGCCATGTTTTCTGTGACCTGGAAACATCTGTAGGGGGGGAATACCGACATTACTCAGAATAAAAACATCACTTCGAAACCAAAACTGCAGGCTGTTGAAATACAGTGCTTCCAGACATTCTGGGCTGGTTCACTTATTCATAGAAAAAATCCCTGAATGGCACATTAAGGCACAAACAAGAGCTGGTATTTCAGTCAAAGTATGACGTAGGGGTTAGCTGAGTGATTCCAGGGATGTTAATCCATCCATCACGTTCATCCAGACATCTAAGCATCTAATGGAAACTATTAGAAATTGTATAATGACATTCGTGCTCCCCGAAAGATAAAGCTTATTGACTTTGTTGATCCCCTGACACTCATTTAAATGTGCTTTTTTTAGTCAAATGTCCTTGTTAGTTAAGTGCAACGAAATGTTGGTGCAGACAATCACATTCACCTCAGGATGAATTGTAATAATTGTGGGTATCCATTAACTATTCTGTTGTGGTGTAAGGCCCCTTTTACACCTGGTGTCAACATACAGTCGTTACCTGGGAACATGTCTGGGCAATGCTCTGCTTATGCCAGCAGTAGAGGCAGAGTTAAGTGACCTTTGAACTTGTCAGGTGGATTTTCTTTGTAATTGTTTCCTGCATTTACTCCTGACAACTCTGATCACAATTCGAGTTTAACCACCTTCAAATGTGTTCTGCATGCATCCCACTACAATATGTAGACGACATTTACAGACAACTTTTTAATCTCAGGGTTTAATGGGCTATATGACACCAATAATTATTTGTTCTGCATATGAAATGTCTTCTTGATGCTGATATGGAATGAATGAGTTCTGACCCTGTGATGCCTGCAATGTTCACCTTCACAAAATCTCACAGTGTGGCAGCGAAAGCAGAAATAAATTCATTGAATATTCACAACCTCAAAAGGAAATGGATGCCACAGATGTACTCTTTGAAGACACATTTTGGACAAACTGA